TTTCTCGACTCGCTAGCTCAATTTGATCGGGAGTTATTGACGAAAAACTAATATGACCTTGATGACGTCATAAATGACGTCACGAAAGGTCAACATTGCAAAAGTGACGCATCTAACCTTGCAAGGAGTTCATCAAATCACGATTATGTGTGCTTGAGATAGTTGGAGATCGTTCCCGGCGCCAGAATAGCAGTTTTCATTTTTCCCCATTGACTTATAATGGTGAGGTCACGAAAATGACCTGACCTCATATGACCGTTAGGAAAAATCCGAGATATACAAGTTGTGAGACTCATAATGGATACTAGATCCTGCAAGTTTCATTTCCCTGTGACATCTCCTCTGGCAGTGAGGGCGTTGCGAAGTTGCGACATCTGAAGACCGTGCAGAGGTTCACTTATGACGTCATAGGTCAGTGACCTTACCTGACCCAGAAATGCGGTTGGTGTCAAAAGATGCGGCTTGGATCAAAGGTCAGATATGCCAAGTTTCAGCTCTCTATCGCCAGCGTGTTCGGAGCTATCGCGAAAAAACCCTATGGGGGGGGGGCGGCACCCGCCCCCCCCCCCTCGGCCGGCGAGGGTTAACCCTCGCATGTGTGCGGCGTTTGCCAGCTTCTAATGTGTAGGGGGGGGGGTCGGTTGGAACCCTCCCCCCTTGCCGTTTGGCCCCTGATCGAGCTAGAGCTTTGCGGAAAAAACAAGCGTGTTGCCCGTCACGAGAGGAAGCCGATGATACCCAATTTTAAGGTCCTAGGTCATTGGTTGACCTTCCAGGTCACTGGTCAGGTCAGTGACCCAAGGTCGGGAAAATCGGGACCTGTTCGAAAGTCGTAAAATGTGGCTGCTATGGGGTTTTTGGGGACGCTGATCACGAATATATCGTTCAGTTTTGATCACAGATGATGTCTAGCATTTAGACCAGGTCGGGTCAGGGATCAGGTCAGGTCAACCGGTAGGCGTCGTGACGGGCATTCGTAGTACGTGTCAACCGCCTCTGACAGCTTCGTAACATGTTACGAAGTCACCAAAACTACTTCGTTTATGTTAAAATGGTTGCTAAATTCGAATTCAGCACTGAAAACTTTTTTACCATTTCCTGAAGGGTAAACCCGCCATAGCATGGTAGCTTGACACACAGACGTTTTTTACCACCTTCCAGATGGTAAATTTTACTCTTTCATGAAGAGTAAACTCGCCAGGGAGGGGTAACATGACACACAGACGTTTTTTACCATCTTCTGAATGGTAAACTCTTTTGATTTACTCTTGTCTAAAGTGTAACATTTTTTGGGTTACACTCTTTGAAAGGGTAAATCTTTAACGGAACCCTTTTTTAGGGAGTAACGCATCATCTACTCTGTGCTTTACCCTCCTACAGAGAGTAAATTCTTATGGCCTACCCTTTGTCACATGGTAATGTTTACTCTTTCCTTTAGTGTAAACCCCCCAGAGGATGGTAACAGACCCACAGACGGTTCCTTCAGAAGCTTCACGAAGCTTCTGTTAACCGGAGCTCACCAACTAAAAAAAAATGTTTCAAGAGCAACAATGTAGGTATATTTGGCTTCCGTACAAACAATACGAGGGGCACACCAACCATGAACATTGTGAGACTCTTCACTTATTCATACAAATTTATACAAAGCGTTCAGCAATGCACAAGCGGTAAATAAACACCACGATACAACTTGAATGCAATTTGAATATGAATACAAGACATTCAGCGCCCTCATATTGAATTAGGCAGAGCGCACAATATTTGAAGTGAGCGACGGCGTTCCTGGGTGGTCGCCCGTCTGCGTGAGATAATGAGACTGGATCACTACAGTGCAAGGCTTTTTCAAAGTCACCAACAAAATGCATAAACTTGTAGCATCACAACAAAATTAATGTACGTACTCACAACACTAGGCCACGTGGCCGTGCACGGGGTCCTGTTAACCAGGTCAAATTAGCACCACTCAACGGCACGCAATGCTCTAGCACATCGGTACTTACAATAAAATGTCCACAGAGGCTCTATAGGCGATGAACAACACACAAGCACAATCACCAACGGCCACGCCGCGCGGCACCGACACTGCTCACATCCGCTCTCGGAGACCAACGGCCGAAAACTGACAGATGCGCGCGGCCTTCAAACCGCAAACGGCCGATCTCGTTTCTGATTGGCTGATTGTTTCCATTTCAAATATCATCTTCACGAGGGTAAACAAGATCCACGCATGAAACGACTATCTGTACCCGAGTCACGATACCCAGGAGGAAAGAGTTTTCGTGATGTTCTGGATCGCGAGAGTAATATTGATATTTACATGGTAATAATACTCTTCGCTGGCGAATAAGTTCATATTAACCACGTACCGTTACTATGCACATAATGGTAGCAGCGAGTTACCCTTTCAATATACTATTATCTTGCGGGTTTGATGAAAATGAACTCTCCAGGAGGTAGTAAAAAAGTTTTGAGCTAGCTCCAAAAACTAGCCTAGAAACATGTAAGTAAAACTCGAAAAAGTGAACCGAGGTCACCAAAGGTCAATGACCTGACCTGACCTTCAAGTGACCTTGACACCCACCCTAATGCATGGGAGCAACATCAAATCACATGTTTGAACGTTTGAAACCACGAAAAGCTTGCAAACGCGCGGCTAATGCGAGCCGACATACGCCGAATCGCGATTCCGGCCAAACATGGCCTCGGAAAAGAGGTCACAGGTCAAAGGTCATTTGGGTCAGGGTCATGAAATTTTCAGGGTAGATGTAAAATTGACCAATGCAAGGGTACTGAAAGTTTTATCTCGATCGGCCGCTTTTTACGCGAGTTATTTGCGAAAAACCATGGGGGGTCCATCCGACCCCCTACACATGCGAGGGTTAAAATATTATCTCCTTGTGGAGGCTGGGCAAAATTTGATCACTCAGGGGCATTCCTTGAAACTTCTGGGACATTTGCGCCAGAAGTCAGCATGTTAGCCGAGGCCCTGGACTGGACGACTGAGCTGGCAGTGACAGCGGGACTGACCGTCGGGTAGTACGACAGCCGACCCGCCCGACCGCTCCGGCTCCGGCCGGCCCGAGGGGTCAGCCCGCCAGTCCGGTAGGCTACCTGAGGCGTACTGAATCAGATAAGAATTTTTGAAAGAGCTGAACACCATGTGGTCGCCACCTCTCTCATGAATGGATCCATTTAACACGCGCACCGACGGGGGGTGGGCGGATATCCACTCCCCTGAGGTTTTTCGCGGATAGCGGGAAAACCGCGGCGCTACGCGCCACGAAATTTAGTACGACTATTCTCTCATCAATTTTACACATGGTGTGCAAGTTTGAACCTCCTAACTTTTAAGGTCAGGTCACCAGGTCACTTTGAATGACCCAACCTCAAGTCACTTTTTTGCAACTTTGTCACCGTGCCAGAGCTACAGTAGATGTCGGAGGCCTTTGAAAGTCGCAGGATGTTATTAGGTCTTTAGTAGCTACAATTTGTATATCTCGGAATTTTGATGTCGGTGACCTAAGGTCAGGTCAATTTCGCGACCTCCCCATTATAAGTCATGGGGGAAAAATCAACTCCCTGTTTTTACCACTAAAACGGGTCGGAATGGCCCCATATACCATACATGACTTCATATACGATCAACCTTTACTACCTTGAGGTCTGTTTTGCTGTTGGGCAGCTGTAAGGTCATGTGACGTCATCAAAGGTCACCAGCGGTTTTTTGCCAATAACTCCGTACAGGAACAAGATACAGCCGCGCGGGTGTTCTCATTGTGTTCAGCTCGTCAAGACGCATCGAATGATATACATGATGACCTCGAGGTCACGTGCCCTGAGGTCAACCTTTGACCTTGACCTTTCGAGGTCAACATATATATCATTCGATGCGGATTGACGAGAGGATCACGATGATGCCCTTCGTTTGTTCCTATATTGACTAATTCGAAAGTTATTCAAGAAAAACTCTCTCCATATCTAGCGCCGCCATTTTGACTTTTTCGACCCCTGTGACGTCATCTTTGACCTGACCTGAAAATGACCTTAGTAAAAATTGTAGACCTTGTCCGTGCGTATCCGATGTCGTTTACCGCTTGTCGCTATCTTGCTTCGTTCTCGAGATCTCAGGGGGGCGGTCATCCGCCCCCCCCCCGTCGGTGCGAAGTTGGCGCAGACCCCCGTCGGTGCGCGGGTTAATAACAGAGTCAGCAAATCCGAGGAGCGGAGAACAGAAACGTTAATTTCTAGATGGCTGCTCAAGGCTGCATATAGGCGATCGGGAACATTTTGGTAAATAGGACATTCAAGAATAAAGTGACGTTCGCGGAGCCGAGTCGAATGAAGGAGGTATTGATTCAGTGACTCGGCGCTGTACAGTTGTGTCGGCCGGCAGCGGTCGCGGCACAAGAATTTTTTTTCGCGGCACGAGAGGGTTTTTTCGGGAACTGGTATTAATTAGTGTTGCTCGGCCTCTGGTGTACTGAAGTTTCAGTGCGGACTCAAAAGCTCTGCAGTGACTGAGCGTTGGCCGAATTTTTAGACGTTGAATGGCATTGTTTTGCCTTCTTGTGCCAAAGGGCATCATCGGATTTACTAGCTGCTTGGTACCTTGAAGTTGTAGGAAACTCAAAGCAGCAGCACTGCGACTGCGAATACTTTCTCAGCTCCCGGTTGCTGAGCTGTGAGAAGCCACTCCAAATGTTGGACGGACAGTGCGTTCACAGACGGGCACATATGTGTAACTTTGTTCTAAAAATTAGCTCCCAAACGTGCGGGCCGCTGTCCCATTGCTGTAAAACCAGATTACTTACGAGGGACCATCTCATGACACACACCTTCTAGCTTCAACAATGCCAACTATCCTTGCTTGATGGCATTACCCTTTTTTTCGATCTCGAAATGGCATGCATAGCTGCCCTGGCGGTTAGCCACTAAGAAGTCTCCTGGCCGTCCTGACCTGACTTGACCTGGCCTGACCTGACCTGATGTTGTGTTTTTAGGAGGCCGTGGACGCCCTGGTCGCAGACTACCTGCGTCGTTTCTCGGAGATCGCCGGTCCGCTCATCAACTGCGCGCCGATCCTCAACTGGTTCGAGCTCGATGCTGGCGGCGCTCGGCAGGTCGGCGCCGACGACTCGGACATCAACACGCCGGCCGTGGCCGCCGCGCTCGTCGGGAAACGCTACGTGGCACAGGCCAGCGACGAAATCAGCCTGGAGGTGAGCGGCGGGAGGGAGAGGGAGGGAGAGGGAGAAAATAAAACACGTGGGGAGTGGGAAGGATGCTGAGTTTGTGGCGATTGAGGAGAGGTTTAGAGAGCCGAGTCGCCTCGGGCGGACGGCGGCAGAGTGGAGTGGGGGGGGAGGGGGGGGCGGTCTGGGGACCACGGCGGCGATCTGGGCGGCGGCGGGCGGGTGTTACCGTCTGTTCGCCTGCTGTGCTCCACCGATGGCAGGGATGGTGGGGCGGCGATCAATGGAACCTCTGCACTCGGCTCCGAGGGTGGCCTGCCGGTCGCCGAGCCGCCGAAGAAGCGAGCTGACTGCACACTGTCGGCGCTGGCCAGCGGTCAGTAGTTGTCACGGCAGTCAGCGCAGTCCTCGGCGCCCCCAGCTCGAGTAGAGCTGCCGCCGCCTCAGCATCCTCACACTTCAGTTAGATAGGTAATAATCTGAATTCTAGCTCATCATCCTGCAACATTCCAAGAGAGCCACCCAAGTGGCACGACGACCATTCAGTCGTGGCCTCTCATGTCGCTGGTGAGAAAGACGCCAGAGATGAAAGCTTTCCGAGACCGTGCTGATATGGCAGGTGTTCAGTCTCGGCGTTCCGTGGCACGTTCTGGCGACCTTTACTCCGCTGTCTGCTTTTGGTATACGGGCGAGGACGTTACCGGCTTCACCGGCCGGCTGGCTGCAGCCGCAGACTGGGTCCGTCCGCTCTTCTCCGCCAGCGCCGCCGGCCTGTACATCCCTCAGTGCAGCCAGTCGCGGCGTCCAAAACTGAGCACTGATCTGCGTCTGCAACTGACACGTAACCAGTGCCGGGCGCGGCACTCTTCCCGGCCGGCCGGCGGCGGGACACTCCCCGGGCCGCGGCGGGACACTCCCCGGACCGCGGCGGTACCCTCCCCGGCCGGCAGGCCGGTCGTATTTCCGGGCGCGCCCGACGCCGGTCGTTTCGTCCGCGGCCTCAGTCTCAGTCTCGGCGGAGAGCGGGGAAGTCGAGGGCAGGGTGGAGTCGCACGGAAATTCACTCCGAGCCGGGCCAGAGTTCGCGCGGCGGGTGTCGGGCGGCGCTCAGCTGGGCTGCTGGGCTCAGGGGACGGCCGCGCTCAGTGGATGGAATGGCCGCCCGCCGCAGTTCTATTCAGCGGACCAACGGGCAGTCGCGGCCAGCTCCCTGCCAAATGAACGCCGGCAGTCAGCCGGAGATGTGTCAGCTCCCGCGCTGCGGGCGCGAAGTATCGTTCCAGTTCGGTTACAATGTGCGCCGAGTGCCTGCCGCGCCGGTGTAGCCGCGCCGTGTCGTGGCGCTGGGCGGCCACGGGCCGAGCGCTGTGTCGGCTGCACGGACGGGCCGGACTGGCCGGACGGCCGCTGACAGCGGGACTGGCACCGGCCGCCTCCACACGTGCAGCCGCGCCCGGCCCAGTCGGAGGAGCTTTGTTGGCGCACGTGTCGGCCGGGGATGGGCGATCAGCCGTCAGCCGATCGGCCGGGGATGGGCGATCAGCCGTCAGCCGATCGGCCGGGGATGGGCGATCAGCCGTCCGACCCTGCAGTGATCAAACGAACCGTCAGCTGTGACCCGACGGACGTATGGCGGGACATAGTGACGGCAGCCAGCGGCGGCGGCCGCGCAGACTGGGTAACAGAGGCGGCACAGCCAGCGGCAGCGCTGATAGACGTTGCCGCTGAACGGGCCGGCACGGAACTCAGCTGTCGGACCGACTGCTCGGTGCGGAACTCAGCTGTCGGACCGACTGCTCGGTGGACCGTCGACCGGCTGCCGCAGCCGAGTGTGGCCGCCCGGCGCCTGTGGTAAAACACAGCACCGCAACTAGGTATCTACCCCATGTGTGGGGACAGACACCCACACTCCGGCCTCCGATGCACCCATCCTTAGTCCGCGCTTAAATGGACAAATTACCAGTCCGGCCGCCACTGAGCCCATCCCAGTCCAGTCCACCAGTCCTGTCCCAACTCCCAACTCCTCCCTCAGTCAGCTGTGAATGACCCTCTCCTCCCTCAGTCAGCTGTGAATGACCCTCTCCTCCCTCAGTCAGCTGTGAATGACCCTCTCCTCCCTCAGTCAGCTGTGAATGACCCTCTCCTCCCTCAGTCATGTGAATGTGTCCTCTCATCCCTCAGTCAGCTGTGAATATGTCCTCTCCTCCCTCAGTCAGCTGTGAATGACCCTCCCCTCCCTCAGTCAGCTGTGAATGACCCTCTCCTCCCTCAGTCAGCTGTGAATGACCCTCTCCTCCCTCAGTCAGCTGTGAATGTGTCCTCTCATCCCTCAGTCAGCTGTGAATATGTCCTCTCCTCCCTCAGTCAGCTGTGAATGACCCTCCCCTCCCTCAGTCAGCTGTGAATGACCCTCCTCTCCCTCAGTCAGCTGTGAATGACCTTCCCCTCCCTCAGTCAGCTGTGAATGACACTCCCCTCCCTCAGTCAGCTGTGAATGACCCTCTCCTCCCTCAGTCAGCTGTGAATGACCCTCTCCTCCCTCAGTCAGCTGTGAATGACCCTCTCCTCCCTCAGTCAGCTGTGAATGACCCTCTCCTCCCCCAGTCAGCTGTGAATGACACTCGCCTCCCTCAGTCAGCTGTGAATGACCCTCTCCTCCCTCAGTCAGCTGTGAATGACCCTCTCCTCCCCCAGTCAGCTGTGAATGACCCTCTCCTCCCCCAGTCAGCTGTGAATGACCCTCTCTTCCCTCAGTCAGCTGTGAACGTGGTATGTACAGTGGGTCTATTTAAGATCTCCAGAGCCACCACGTGGCGCTACGGTCGGGGTAGGGCGAGTCCAAATCCCGAGGGAAGTGAGGTCACCGGTCATTGTGGGGGAAGGAGGGGGGGGAGTGACGCGGTATCACGGCGCATGGGGCGTGCGTAGCGCCGGGAGTGGGCCGCCCAGGGCAGCCCGCCACTGCGCCGCGGCTGAGGGGAGGGGATGATGGTTACGGGTGCGTTCACTCCGGTATGGTGGTATCCTGTTCATGTGGAACCAGCAAGAATGCGACTGAAGGGAATCATTATCTCAAACAAATGGGCAAGCCAGAGGCAGCGTCAGTTCCAGCCAAAATGTTGAACAATGATAATTGAAATCTAGGACGTATTCAATATTCATAGCATGCAACTATTCAGTCGATAGTTGCATGATGCTTTTCATGATGCATGATGAGGCTTTTCTAAACTGTTATTTGAGTTAGATATTTTCCATTTGGCACGCTCAGTTTTGTTGGGTTTTATCGGGTCGAAAAGAAGCAGAAAAGAAAAAACAAAAGAGTTTGAATGGCTCCAGACAAATGAGCAAAAATATTTTCTTTAAAAAAATGAAACTTAGCTAAACATTTATAAGCGATAATTTTGACTTTTGGAGAGGACATTGGGGAAAGATATTGGGGAAAGATGTCATCATGCTTATCTGTGTTGCAGTAGAAGGAAAGGATTTGTTTCGTGTCTAGGTAAAACTAGACCCGGCAGTGGGGCTCGAACTCACGACATCGCATTCAGCTCACAGGTTACCCAACCTCAACGCTACGAGCACCTATCGCCCTGTGCAGCTTGCTCAGTGTTTCGGCTAAAGTTCGGCCAAAGTGTCTGACGTCTGTCAATGTCACGAGGCGAAACCCCAAGGTAAATGTCCGTCCCGGTAGCTCAGTCGGTAGAGCGTCGGACTCCATGTGCCATGTGGTGAGAGAGCACGTCCCGGTTGCAAAAGTCCGGATTCGAAACGCGGCGTGTGCTTGGCGTTTTTGAGCGGCTCCTGACGGGTATGGTTGTGGCTGGTGGCAGGCCGCTGCCAGGCGAAGTCAGTGAGGGGACCGGCCGTTCGCGGCTATGTTCGCACGTTAAAATTTGGACTCTAAATTCTGCCATAGACCAGGATCAATTGCTTAATCGAAGGGTAGAGAGCAGGGTCAACGCAACAAGCTCAGCTTAGAGCCCGGGAACTTTGTCCTTGTGATTCCTTTCTTTCAAAAGGTTCGGGCCAAATTTATATTTAAATAGGGCGAGCCGAACCAGGTTGGGCCGGGTTGAACCCGGTTGGACCGGTGTCTTACACGAAATCATGGTCAGACAAAACAGAGGCTAATTTCGGGTCAAGTATTTTTATTCACTGATCTTATTGTTTTTAGCTTACACGTATAATAACTTTAAGTTTTTTTAACTCCAGACTTCATGCATAAAACTGTGGCATTCATCCACTTTTCCTCGTCTCCTCTTAGCGACTTTATTTGACCAGGCCCATCTAACCAGCAAAAAAAAAAAAATCACCTGCGTGATAATTATTTGCCAAAGGGCGCTCTACGCATGAAACATCAGCCGGTCAAAAAAAAAAAAAAAAACTGGCGAACGATACGACCTTTCTATTGCTTGAATTATATTCAATGAGAATTTCAGGAGGCATAAATTATCTTAATCCTTATAGCTACTGGGCGCCCGGAGCGTTCGCTAGAATCCTATTGCCAGCTGCATTACCTACCAACATCACATTTGCATTACTTTGGGTTCACCATAGTTGACAATAGATGCGCCGGCCACAGCAAACCCATGCCTCATTATCCTTTCCTTCCAAGCAGCCAACTGCCAAGCTAACCAGCCGCCCGGCCCACCACCGCGATATGGAACGACGCCGCGCTGGAGTGCGCCATTTGCCTGCGGCAGTGCCCCGCCGCGCCGGGGCTGTTTGACAGGTCACCCGCACCGTGACCTCGCCACCCGTCCCCCCCCCCCCGCCCACCTCCCTATCGGGCCCAGCTCGGTAGTGACCTCTCCTTGAATCTCACATGGACTCGACTGAAGCTCAACGCCATCTAGTTGCGTCTGGAGATCCTTACTAGATCCACTGTACAATAAGTGTACATACTTTGTATATCGGCCCCGGCGCGCCCAGGCCTTGGCGCCACCGTCTGCGCGCCGACAGACGCTGGCCGTCTGCGGTCTGTTCGCTGGCCGTCTGCGGTCTGCTCGCTGGCCGGCTATTGTTGC